ACATGATCGGGAGACGTGTTCGTCGACATCAACATCGACCGACAATGCTGCAAGAATTGGCCGTGGCATTGCAAGAGGAGTGGGTCAGATTGCCCAAAATCTTGATTGGACGGTTCATTAGGAGCATGCCACGACGAATTGCTGAATGTCTGAGGATTGGTGGAGCAATTACTCATTATTAAGACAAAAACCAAAAACGGCCATTTTCACTTTTGACAGTGTATGTATTTGCGAGTGAAATGGGGCCGTCAGATAAGCCGCCCACATGAACTGTTTATGTTCATGTGTAGGCAAGTGCATTTCTGCGGTTTTGTATATCTGAATATCCCCTACTTTTTTGAAGAGTATATGCGGGGTGTTAGTAGGTTATGGTAATGATGAATTGAGTTTTAATGTCCTACTCGGATCATGCAGACAATGACGCTACTGCAAATGCTTATTTCGAATTTCACCTGTCAAGGGTTCTTTTACGTGTACGCCAAAGTTCACACGGGGCCTGGGTATGTCGTCCCACCCGAACGATTAGACACCAAGTGTTCTCTATCATATCAATCCGAGGGAGAGTAGGTTTATATCCTACATATAGAACGTCATTTCACCATTAAATTTAATAGGCCCTTCCATTCAAAGGCAACAATGATTGGATAATTGCTCGATAGTTTCCGTCAAATAGCGAAAATTACCGAAGTAATCACGTGAAAGTACATGGATGTTTTTGTTTATACGCTGCCATTTTGGACTTATTTAATTGAAAGCAAAAACAAAATGTATAGTAATACGAAGTCAGAAGAATAATTAACCCTTTTTAGCCAACATATTGACGATGGAATAGATGTGAGTGCAAATATTGATGAGGATCTATCCAAAGAATGAAGAAAATTTCGATCAAAAGGCAATTTTTTCCGATAATTCTCACAGTGAACCGTGATTGAAGGTTTTCGGTTTGTTCAGAGAAGGATTTGACCGACTGTTTTAAGTGGACTGTACCCTAAAATACTTTACAAAGGAACTCTTGGAGTGTGTGGAGAAATAATCGAAATGTGGACGGAAAGAAAATTCTGAAAGATATCTTACACATGGAGTATGAATAACCGATGTAAATGTGAGGACAAGTACGCCGTCTATTTCGGTCCTGAGATTTACAAACTGTACCATAACAATTTTTAATTGTCAAAAGAATAAAAATTTATTTCTGTATTTTTGTATTATTCTGACCATCTACGTCGTCAGTGGTTGATATGGGCCGAATATATCACCCTGTCATGACGTCATCAGCAGTTGATATGAACGAATATATAAACCTATTATGACGTCATGACAGGTTGTTATGAGATATAACTGCTATGGACGCCAAAGAAAAAACTACATATGTATACATATATACTATCCCACATCATGCATTTTATAAATAATCTGAAATTAGCAGCAGAAATGGAAATCGAGACAAAGCAAAACGTTGCTGGACCAGAAATGGAAATCCTAGAAATTAGATGTTCCTTTGCAACTCACAGATCAGGTTGATTACGACAACGCGTCTAAAACCGAGAATAAGCCAAGTCACCAAGGACACACACAAGTCTGTGGAAAATGCCATTATATGTAAAAAAATAAAGTTGATAACATAATTTTGAATTTGTTTTAGTTGATAACCTACTGACAATACCCCCTTACAAACAACGACCGCAGCAAAACACTCTAATTTTCTTTAATATATAATATTTGATATATAATAATGTTCTTATCTAAAATTTTTAAATAAGTAAATTAACGAAATTTTAAAAAAATGTCATTATTGTTTAAAACAACATGAATGCACCGACTCAGTTACAGGTATATTATTTAAGATATAGATAAAGAGCGAGCCATGCTTTTTGAAAATTTCATTCAAATGTCACAATTGCGAGTCTTTGAAGGTTTGACAAGACGTGTGCAATAATGTCAACCACCGTACTGGCTCTCCCATGTTTAAACCGTTTTAATCCATCTAATATCATAGAAATCCGATGCCATTGAGAGTTGGTTATGGTCTTTTCATGTTAATAAATGTCTAATGAATAATTTAGAAAACATTTTAGGGCTAAAGAAAGACCTGCAATAGGCAGATTAACTCTTGTATAATGTATCTTTAAGTGATATTAGTCGGAAAACTCTTTATATATCTGGTTAATAATTTAATCAGGTAAAAGTGTCATTTTTTTATCTTTATTTAGTACAGAGAGAGAGAGAGAAATGGGGTTTAACTCGATATAAACTAGGTCATTTCGGGACTAACATGTTGTTTTATTTTATTTCAATACTTCGCTTGTGCGTAGGGGTGTTTAGCAGTGGAAGGAAACCGGAGGACCCGGAGAAAACCCGTGAGGTTGGACAGGCGACCGTACTCCTTGTCACTTACAACCTGGGATTCGAAATCACGCCAGTTGACAGGCCTTATGATACAGCGCGCACGTGCTAACCATTCGGCCATCCACCCCCCACCCCCTTTATTCAGTAGAGAAGGTCACAGACCCATAGTACAATACATAACACAATTGAACACAATAGCTATCTGAATACAGATGGAGGAGATAGTATTTATTGCCTTAGTAATAAAGAATGATTTATGAAAGAAGAGATGGACATTGGAAGTGTTTTATCACTAGATGTACATATATCGATCATATTTCTGACATCATAATACCTTTTAAGTTAGAGTTATGCCAAGAGATATATTGAACATATTTCTATATATGAAATTATTGACACGTGCTAAATTGTCACCTTGTTTTAACCCCTGAAAATAAATTGTTGTCTCTTACTATGATGTTCCTAGAGATAATCTACTAACTCTGTACCTTAAAGGGACCATCGCGATTTTAACAGAGAGTCAGAAATAGGTTCGTGTACGTATGAAATTTAAAGGCCAAATTATAGAGGAAGGGTATATGTACCTTGTCTCAACATTTCAGCTCAAAACCTTTTATCCGGAAACTAATCTATTGCCGTGCCATTAGAGGTTTATACACTACATGTCCTACAAAGTTAACCTACACGATATTTTTATAAGATATTTTTATAATACCGCTCGTTGGGACTCTAGTGTCCAATTTAAGGGCTTTTACAACAAAATTAAGCAGTTTTATTCTCCAAAATATAACCGAGATTGACCCTTTAAATAGACTGGAAGATGAATATCAATTTTTATTACACTGTCGATCTTAAATCCAATGAATACAGATTTATCCCCCTTTCTATTTATACTTCAATAGAAATATTTATCGCTCTCAACTTTACCTGTATTATTCTACTAGCTGGCTAAATTCATATTCCATTTATGCAAAGAGACATACACACATAATTAACACATAATAAGATAGGCAGAAAGTATGGAAGGGTGTTTTTGTGATGACCGGCTTTCCCAACTTTCCATCATAATCACATCAGTTCACGATTTGAGTTACACTTTCGTATGTGTTATTTTGACTTGTTACCTTGTCTGGTATATCAACCTGCGATTACGGTCAATATCTAAGTCATTTGTAGTCATAGCCTGGTATTCTATAGCATATTTTATATTCGTTAATGTTCCGACATTGTAATAACCTGTATGTCATATTTTCCTTTTATTCTATAGCACATTAACGACTAGACACTTTATTTTATTTCCGTTAACAATTTGTGGTCGAATTCATGGGCACAGTAGTCGCGATCAGTCCATAGCAACCTTATCACAAGCGTTTAATTCATTACTGTTTATATATTACCACTGCTATTGGTATTGTATATTATTAAAGTCGCTTTGTATTTCATTATATTTTTCATTCGTGTATTTTGCTGAATTGTATTGTATTCTGTGGTTATTTCCCACAGTTTCCCACCTTTCCAACATTTTCCGCCAGCATTTCCAACGTCGTTGGAATCGGCGAGTCTATATAAGGTAATTAGCGCGCGGAACTCTGGGGCCGTCAGATGATTTTCACAATTCGAGTAGAGGGGGTTAGAGTTTCTTTAGGAGTTTTCTATTGTGTCATTTTTTAAAGTTATCAATCAAGTCATTGGGATTCAAGGAAGTTTGTGCTGTTTCATGGTGAGTTGATTGGATACAGCATAGTATTATAGTCAGGATTATTATTTTCTATTTCTTAGTTGATTCTGGATATGAATCATAACTAAAGGGGATTTGTTTTGTCCAGGATTTGGGCAAAGAGAGTTATTTCTGACTTAGACAATAGGGGAAAGCAACACCTTATTAGAGTTTATATGTTATTATTTATGTATAATACATTTCTAAATAATACACTTGAAGATTGATGATTTTATGGTTTAATGTAATTCACATTTCAACATTTGCGTCAATTAAAGTCTGTTTTTTTTTTACATAAAGTGGTTTATTTTGTTTGGGTTATTTGAGTTGTCAAACCAGTTAACGCTGTTTCGGACAATCTTTTATCTATATAGTTTGAAAGACTAGTTTGACGTGCAATAGTCTCAAACAATTGTTACTTGGTACGTCGTCCGTGACCGTCAAACTCGGGACCGTCACAGTTTTTATTAGATTTAGGAATCCTGATTTAACTTATCTTGATTTTAAGCTAGTTCAAAAGTCTTATGGAGGAAGGTTAGATTATTTAAAATACATAAAGTTGATAACGATATATGTCCTGATTCCCATGTTTTTAGAGTGTCATGAATTAACTGGGGTTTTTTATTTTTAAACAGAAACATATTGATCACATGAAAAGGATGAAGAGATCCACCTTCCAAGATAAACTCTCTAACTTCACCACGTAGAGCCTCTTTTAAGTGTCTTCATGCCGCAGATTAACGACCTAATTCAAATAAAATTCAAAAAGAAACTCAAGACCCATCTCTTTACTTCAACATAACATTAATTATAATATAATAAATGTCATTTAAATAAACATGGAGTATGTTCTCTGAAATCTATCATCTGAGGATTATCTTTTCCGTGTGCATATCAGATAATTTGGTATTTAATAACAAAAAAACACTGTACAAACCTGGTTTTAAACTACATGTTGAGTCTTCATTGATTGATGTTCTGTCTGGGAAGGTAATTTTGTCCACACATAACCAAGCTACTTCTAGATCTTCAGCTGTTACAGAGATAATTGTAAATGATGGATTTCGTGGTGGTTGGAGCTCGGTGCTAACATTATACCTGGATCTTAAAGCACGATTTGCCACACATGCACTAACACTTTCGGGCGATAACTTAACGCACTGAACTATATTCTCGGCATCAGTTGTATTATAACGATACCAATATATATCTTGGGTTATACTACCAGAAATACTACAACTTAAGACTGTTGGCTGTCCTACAACTCCTCCTCCACAAGATATTGTTGTCTGTGCAGCACCTAAATAAAAAAAGAGAATATCTACACACAAAACTGCTGTGAAAAGGCTAAGGTATCGGGCAAGTGTCAGGAATTGTCAGAAAATTTTCGAGAAGATGCGATGATCATAGTAAGCATTCGAAGTTCGAATGGAAATAGCAAGAAAATAACAGAGTAGTACGGGTATTTAAATGTAGGCATATATAAATACAAGGATCACAAAATCCATGCAAGGTAATAAGAATTGAGTTTTTATCTTGGTATGATAATGCAAATGTGAAGGATAATGCTTTCAGACCATGACCAAATGTAACATTTCGCCAAAAAGGTGAGGTTGGTGTCATTCGCCTGCAGACCAAAAACATACAAGAATGTAGAAGATAGCCACAAAGGTGCGGAAAACGCCCATACATCAGCTTGTCCGAAAGAAAAATTGCTTTGTTGAGCAAATTTGATAAGGATCTAGGATGATTGAAGAAATCGAAACTCTAGGGTTCCAACCTAATGACCCCATATCTTCCAACCAAATTTGATCAGGAAGGGGGAATAACTCAGGAAGGGAAGGTCGCGGAATATGAACATAGATAGGGATCAATGACCTAAATACTCCAAGCCAATATGAAAACATACATTAAAAACTATAGACTATATGGCATTCACAAGGTTTTTCGGAAAAGAGGCACGCTAAATGTCGATAGGGTTTATCTTCTCGTGAACCCAATGCTTCACACCAAATTTTACAAATATATATTAAAACCTATATAGCGTTTATCTTTCCCACATGGTTTTCGACAAAAGGGTAATAACTGTGGAACGACAAGTCAAGGAATTAAACAAAAAGAAAAGTCACGGAATTTTTCCTCTCATTACCCCAATGCTTCAAACCAGATTTGAAAAAACAAACATGTCGAGGTTTTCGGCAAGGGAGTGGGGGTGGGGGGTTATTACGGAACGGAAAGTTGTGGAAAGCTCCATTCGCTCACAACCACATTGCGCACAATCATATTTGAAATAAATTGGTTACAAAATGTGGCCTATATCGCGTTCACTTGTTTTTGAACAACGGAGAGTCTGGATATCGGTAGGGTTCGTCCTCTCCGGACCACAATGCTTCACATCCCGATCACAAGGCTTTCGCCAAAGAGCGATAACTCCGGAACGGACAATAATGATAGCACTCATACACTAACTTAGTAACGACATTCGGCCAAGTTTGAACATTCTACTTTAATTAGACGTTGCGTTATTAGAAGCTGGTGTTTTTGTTCCAAAAATTGTGACGAACAGACAGGCGCACAGAGAGAAATTCTTATAAAATCCTTTCCTTATTTTTACCTTTAACAGTGCTTATAAATAGAAATATTACACAATAAACATCCTTTCTTGTTACATAAACCATACTGGTACTGTTTGTTGAGTTTATTCTACTCTACAATAGATATAATATCATTTCAAACAGAAATATGCCAACTTGAGATGTTGTATATGATAGCAACATTTCTTGTAAACAAATATCCCAAATTATGTTCTATAGATGAAATCATTGGGGTTTAATGAAGCCGAGTATATACCATGCAGTGTGCTATGAGGGGTAATGAAGTAAAGTATATACCATGCAGTATATGTATGCTATAAGGGTTAATGAAGCCGAGTATATACCATGCAGTGTGCTATGAGGGGTAATGAAGCATAGTATATACCGTGCAGTATATGTATGCTATAAGGGTTAATGACGCCGAGTATATACCATGCGGTGTGCTATGAGGGGTAATGAAGCATAGTATATACCATGCAGTATATGTATGCTATAAGGGTTAATGACGCCGAGTATATACCATGCAGTGTGCTATGAGGGGTAATGAAGCATAGTATATACCGTGCAGTATATGTATGCTATAAGGGTTAATGACGTCGAGTATCTACCATGTACATGTTTACATTGCTATGTCATCGACTTTCGCTTTTTAAAACTGGAAAATTTGAAACTTTAGTTGTAGGTGCTGTGCCGGATGTGTCTATTACAAATAATGGCACACTGTCAATGTTACAATCCCGTCGATGGTTACCTACTCTACTCCGCAGATAAGTGCCCGTTTCTCCAATTTAAAAATGGCGACGACTATTACAAGTCAGGACATATATGATTTTCTTGTGTCACAATTCATATTGTCAGAAGTACAGTTCTGAAAATTATATTTGTTGTTTGGCGTTATTTGGTTGCAAGATTTACATCAAAGATTCCGGCATTTACAAACATAAAACCCGGTCCTTATTATAGGTATAAATATATACCTACCTGTCGTTTGTCCTACTATATATACCATATAAATATATACCTACCTGTCGTTTGTCCTACTATATATACCATATAAATATATACCTACCTGTCGTTTGTCCTACTATATATACCATATAAATATATACCTACCTGCCGTGTGTCCTACTATATATACCATATAAATATATACCTACCTGCCGTGTGTCCTACTATATATACCATATAAATATATACCTACCTGCCGTGTGTCCTACTATATATACCATATAAATATATACCTACCTGTCTTGTGTCCTACTATATATACCATGTACATGTAAGTTGTATACGCAGGTGACAATGATGTCTTGTGAATGTATATAACCCAGTTTACAACAGGATATATTATCACATAGAGTGAAATATAGTTCTCCTAAACAATGGGGTATTTACAGTTAAAGTAGCTAAGTCTCTAACTCAATATCACCTATAGTCTTCAATATCGAAAACACGAATTATTTGTCAATTTAAAGTTATTTTTCACTTCAAATTGTGCGTCACCTAACATTTCACTTCCCTCTCGCTCTGCGCCACTACTCATATAGCGTGTATTATCAATATCTATACAGATGACTGCATGTGTGTATTAATAACAACTATACAGATGACTTTATCAAGAATAAATACAGGGAATAAATGGGTCATGTTTTATTTTATTAGTTTACTTTCTTAGATAATGGTTCTTTGTATGTAATTCAAAGGACAGCCGAAATTACACCTGTATAGTCAGGTGATTATAGTCGCTCTATAACATGCAATCGGTGTATTAAAGATGCATTATGTAAGAGCTAAATTTGCCTATTGAATGTCTTTATTTAGACTTCATATGTTATATGAATTATCATTTGGTAGTTTGGATATTAATTGGATTAGATCATACGCGCAATTTAATCGGTTAACACAAAAATGGTAAATTAAGACGTCGTTTATTATCGAACAAATGACAATAGACACTATGCTAGTCTTATTTATTTTTCATTATCTATTTTGGAACTATTAGAGCAAAATCGACGGATTCTCTCTATAAATCTTACATAATGCATCTTTAAACACATACTATTATATCAAGTGATAAACTAAAGCACGGTATCTTATCAAATAATGACAAACAGTTATATCGTATTGAATAACGACAAACAGTTACATTGTATTAAATAACGACAAACAGTTCCATTGTATTAAATAACGACAATCAGCTTTAACTCATTAAATAACGAGAATTTATGTATGTATGATGTTTATTAACGTTAATTTATAATAAAGTTACATCTTATTAGTTGACAACAATTTATAATCTAAACTAGTATAAGGAAGATTGTTAGAGTAATTTTTATTGAAATCAATTTATATATGAATTAGTATGTGTATGATAATTATTCATTAGTGTATGTATGATAGTTATTAATTAGTATATGTATGATAGTTATTAATTAGTATATGTATGATAATTATTTATTAGCATATGTATAATAATTATTAATTATAAACTATATGTATGATAATTCACTAATATGGGGGGGGGGGGTTGTTGTAAATATGATAATTATGAATTAGTATATCTATATAATTATCAATAAGTATAGAGTGTTTGTTATGAATATTATAATTATGTATGGTAATTCACTAGTATATGGAGGGGGCGTGGGGTAGTTATAAATATGATAATTATTAATTACTCTAAGTATGATAATTCACTAGTATAGGGGAGAGTGTTATAATTGCGATAACTATTAATTACTATATGTAAGACAATTCACTAGGGAGGGAGATTGTTATAAATATAATAATTATTGATTACTATATGTATGATGTTCACTAGTATAAGGGAGATTGTTATAAGGTGACGTGGGGGTCCTTGTCTGTAGTTCTTGGTAACTATTGTTATATTTATCAAGTCTGTTATCATCCGATATACTACTATAGTTAGTACCAGGTTCCACCTCACTTGTACCAGAATATGGAAGATTATTATAAGGTGAATTAGAATTTCTGGTTTGTAATTCCTGGTAAGCACTATCTGTATTATGTCTGTCTGTATCAGATAGATTACTGTAAGTAGTACTCGGTTCTGACGGAGTTATCGTTCTTGAATTCTCCGTTCCAGGATTACCATGTCTCTTTAGACGCCTTAGTTTACCTTTTCTGTAACAAGAAAAATAAGAAAAACGCTTCAGGCATAACATTTCCCAAAATATAAAACTTGTAGTTTTAAACTGAGTTGAAGGACAAAAGAAACGGAATCTAGATTAACGCCTTACTTTTCTGTATCAACCAGGATAATAAAGACTACCACACGCCACACAGTGGGTTACGGGGAACATTTACGAGGACTAGGGCGATACCACCTACTACTTGTAATACAAAAGGTCAACGATTTCTTTTAAATACGCGCTAATGTGTATGTGTGTACACGGGGCCAGGTTATTTTCCAATCCGAATAACTAGAAACTGTGAATGATCACGACCTAATTTGATTATTATATAGAAACTGAATAATAATATTACCTGTACATGAGAAATAAAACTATGACCAGTACCAATGAAAGAGATAATATAGTAACCAATACTATGATGACGATATCGGTATCTGAAATAAATAGTAATACTTATAATCATCCAGACTTTGGTAAACTTGCTACAGGTTCCTTTAATTTAAAAGGCGGGTGTACGGGAGGCTCGTAAATGTTGAAGGACATTGGATGAGAACCAGGGACCATCTTCACATTGTCAGTATATTGTAACATTGTTAATTAAATGTAACTGTTAAATGTCAATGGTGCAATGCTGTGTATTTTCTACCATTTGGAGAAAAGACAAAGAGCCGGTTTTATTCGCACTCTCATTTTAATTTTACTACAACCAGTTAAACCTACCGTTATCTGTTCGTTGTGCTTCACTGTCTGATAGATTAGTTGCTGTGTGTGATGTTGAACCAGGTGATATTTTTGAGGTTTCAGTTGGTGATTCGGATGTAGTGCTGGAGTCGGTTTCTGTAGTGGCAAAACCAGTTGTAGTCGTATAAATCTTATTTTGTGTAGATGACAGACCTGTACTTGTGGTGCTATCTGGTCGCCAAGAAAGAAATGGTGCTGTGGGTGTGGCGGATGTTTGTGTAACAGTTGTAGCACCTATGTTATTACAAGAACCTGACAAAGATAGACCTGAATAATAAATAGAAGGGAATAAAATTACTTTCAAACACCTGAAGGTATAAATCCTTTGTCTACAATTTTTTGGTTATGTTAATACAAAATTTACGGTTTGTTTTTTCCAAAACAACGACTTACGATTTCCCGATTGTTCGTCCAGTCCGAATTATTTGTTAGACATCTTATTTAATATATCTTATTGACGATTCAATATTTGTCTTGCATTTTTACAAATGTGGCTACATAGATGGAACTTTTTTGTTTATTACACAAAACAACGTCTTCGATTTGCCGTTTTTTTTGTTATCCCATCTGGATTACTTGTTAGCCATCAAATGACTCATACTATATTGATCACCTTTCAATATTTACCTTGTATTTCAATCCATAGTTTTAGTCCATTTATTTGTTGATGAGTAAATATAACATCAGCTGTTGTTGATGTTGGTGTTCTTGTTGATTGTAGTCTGTGATTATAAACTTGTAAAGCAGATTGAGAGTTTTCTCTACTTGTTTTATTATAAGTTATATCACCATAGTGTATAAATAAATTAGATCTTGTTCCATCACTACCTGTTTGTAATCTTAGATCTAATATAGTTATAGATGTTATACTTGTACCAAATATAAAACATTTACAACTTGTTTCAGTGGTTTTAAAACCGCTCGCAGATGTTGGGTAATTTGGTGAAAATAGAAATAGTCCGCCTGCATTGTCTGGCAAATTTATTTTGCTTTCACAAATATCCTGGTCAGTTTCTGTAATAGAAAATATAATATAGTGATGAGTCAAATTCCATAACTGTATTCGCCATCCATACGTGTCTTCGTTATTACAACCTTTCCCAGCTCGTGGATAATATGTGGGGGACATATTCTTTGTGATGTTCTTTTAATAAACCTTAACCTAGACATATATCCTGACCATTTTATCTGTTTGATTATAACAGATATAATATAAGATATAAAGGACTTTAAATGATAAATAAAATCAAAATCTAAATATGTTTACTTACTTGGAATACATCTATAGTTAACAGTACTTCCTGTACAATTACTATAATGAGGTATATATTGTGAACATGGTGATGATTGTCCAGTACAAGATGTTATTAAACCTGTATCACTATTAGTCAATGGTTGACCACATGGTACTGTAGAACTACTACAAGCAGGTCCTTGATTATAAAAATACACAATACTCTCTACGTGTATTATATCATTGTTAGAACAGGTCAGTTCCACGGATGGAAAGTTTCCACCATTTTTACACACGGCAATACCTATATAAAATGTATAAATAACAAAGTTTAGCCTTCAGATATTGTCAACATAAAACCTGATATAAATAGAAATTATATTCATTGTAAACGAAACGGATTTTAGCACCAATCGGGCTAATAAAGATGGATACATGGGAGACAATGTGATATGCGGTAATGTTTGATGGAACAACAGCATTGAGGCAACGTGAAGTTGGCACGTTATTCGGGGCTCGCTGGCTCATTATTCGAGATTCGGGATTAGGCACAATAACAGACCGACCTACATTGCATTCGACTATTTCCTCGCTACCTCCGACTGCAGATGTAAGTGAACGTTGGGTGTCTGACGACCTTTTTTTCAAGCTATTAGGGTGTTGACTGTTTTATTGTCGTATCCCTTGTAACCCGCTGGATGGAATGTATACCTACCCCAACCGTATGTGTAAGTGAATGTTATATGGTTGACTAGCAAGGAGACGACCGTTTATCAATCGATTTGAACAGATGGACGGTAGGCCGGTCTTTTATATTGCCGAATCCTGAATCCTGAATAACGTGCTGACTCGTTATTCGGGGTTCGGTAATAAAACAGGTGAGTGTGGAAGAGGATTGCCTCGAGCACGCCAACAAACCAGTCAATACCCTACTTCCTTGACAAACGGTTGTACACCTACGGTCGGAGGTAGTGAGGAAATGGTCGGATGGAAGGTTGGCAGGTCTACTGCCGAACCCCTAATAACGTTCTGGCTCGTTATTCGGGATTTGGAATTCGACACTAAAACAGGTGAGTGCATGAGAGGAATGTCCCGTGCACACCAACAAGCCACCAACACACTATTCGCTAGACAGACGGTCATCTAGTTAGCCACCCAACGTTCTCTACCCCTACGGTCAGGGATAGCGAGGAAATGGTCGGATGCAAGGTAGATTGGTCTGTTTTACTGCCATATCCCGAATAACGTGCTGGCTCGTGTATCATACTATACACCATATAAATATATACCATATATAATATACCAACCTGTCATGTATCCTACTATATACACCATATA